AGCCTCGTAGCCAGAAACTGAGCCAGCAGCCAGTCACCGCTTCCCGTGTGTTCCTATCTGCCCGAACGTGGCCGTATGGGGCGTCCAGAGTGGCCCCATGACAGCCCCGGTCAGGCCTGCACTCCACCGTCTGAAGCCCTATCATGGGGGGGTTCCCCTGGGTCAAGGTCCCCTCAGGGTTTCACCTGCTGTAGCTAGGGGCCTGCTACCTGTCACACCATGGAGGCTTTTGTCAAGATGTCAACCTGTCTTGACAAGGTGTTCCTGCCACCCGCACGGGCCATCAACCCAAGACCCACTTCCGTTGAGCAGCTTCTAGAATCGGTGTCCCTACCACTGTCAGCTCTATGGGCCCCTGCCAGCAGTGACACCAGCTTCTGCTCGTGTCTTTGCCGGGTGTCCCAGCTTTTTAACAGGAAGCCCCAGCGTTCTCTGGCTTCTGGCCGTGGCCGCCTCTGTGGTCTTGCAAACAGTGGCTGTAGGTGAGCTGCTTGTCAGGTCGAAGTGGCGTTTTCCCAGGGACCCACTCCAGCTTGTACGACCAAGCAAAATGTTCTTCCGCTCTTCCTCCTGCTCCGGTGCCTCCTTCCTGGGGCTTGGTTCTTACTAGGTGCTGATGGCCACTGTGCCGTGAGGCTTTGCAGTAACTTCTCTCCCTGCTGCGTGCTCCCGTCTGTGACTTGGCTCCTGTCGCCGTTTCTTCCACTTCCTGTACACAAGCTGTCTCCAGGCTCCCCCCACTTCCAAGGAAGCAGGTGGCCACACTGCTTCACGTGCCTGAAGAGCATCCTGCCTCATTGTCAGGCTGCGTTCTAACGTCACATCAAGGACACCCATCCTGGGGCAGAGGCCAGCAGGAAATAGGTGCTAATTGTGGGTACGGTCCTCTGGGCTTTTCCGACTGTCTCTGATGCCCCCTGGCCCAGACACACTGATCAAGTGACGCAGGCTGCCGAGTACCTGTGCAGGCGGGGGCTGCCTTATTTGCCTAATGGTTCTGGGAGGTATGGGGCTGATAGGTCATTGTCCGGGGACCCTGCCCCATAAGTCTGTCCACGGGTTCCACGTGTGGCTGCCACAGGCCATCCCGGGCAGGCCACGAACATCCTGCTGGGACCCTCCACACGTGATCGTGGATGGCCAGGTGGTCACAGGCATGTTCTCTGGAGACTGCCCTGAGTGCCCACCTTCCTTTCCCACGGGCAGAGATGGGGTTACGTGGCCCAGGTGCTCAGGGTCACCCACTTCGGTGTTTGGCTGCCCTGGGTGCCACCATCGGCAAGCTCCTCCTCCACTTCCTCCTGGGGGTTTGGTGGCCGTGCAGATGTGTCCACTACTTTGTTAGGGTTGCGTGGAATATGTGACGTGCACGGTAGGGACACAGCAGAGCGCTCGCTCGGGAGTTCCTGAGGGTCGTTCCTCCCGCCCTGCCCTGCCTTCTGCTCCTGCACGAGGGTGAGGACTGAGGGTGAGAGACCCTGGGTCTCTCCAGGGTGTTCTTCGCACATCCAGGCGCCCGTTTGTGTCGTGTGTGATGGCTTCCTAACCGCCGTCTTCTGCCCTGCTCTTCTCTGTCTCAGGACCACCCTCGCGCGCGGTGCCTGCAGCGTGCACGGGCCGCCGGTGGGTGGGCACTTGTGACCTTGTGCTGTCCCGGTGGTCTTGCGATGCTCCCCTCATTTGCTTGCACGTGCAAGCAGGTTTTCGGATACGTTCCGGGAAGCATCTCTGGGTCAAAGGCCGATGCGTTTTTAGCGGAAGGAAAGTGTGCTATTTGAACTCGCCACACCCCCCGAGGCACCTGTTTCCCATCCCGCCGAGACAGTGCGTGGTGAAACCTCAGTATTTTCTTACTCTAATACGTGGAAAGTGGCCTCGTGTTGCACTGTGATTTTTTTCTTAAGTTGGGAACGAGGCATCTTTTCCTGTGTTTCTGGGAGCATGGTTCCGGCTGTGTGCCCCCCAAGACACAGTTTCCATCACTGTCCTATTTCTCGAAGGTCAGGCTCTGCAGGCCCCACTTCTGTTCCCCTTCATGTGGGTCAGGGAGTGCCATGTGGACCCCTGGCGTTGGGGGCCTTGCATCCCCTCCCCAAGCCCCGCCCTCTGCTCCCCACGGGCTCCAGCTCAAGGCCCAGGTGGGGCCCAGCCCCTGCCCCTCACTCTGTGCATGGCCCGTCTGCAAGCCTGCCCCAGCCGGACAGTCCTCGGCACACGCGTCACTGAAGGAGGCTGTAGAGGGGCCCCGTGCTGCGTGTTCCCTGTGTGCCGGGTGTCACCTCTGCCCCACCCCCCCGCCCAGCCTCTCCCTGGCTCTCGGCCGCCTGCCTGCATCCCTCCTGTGTCCACTCTCAGGCATGGGGAGCTTCCTCAGGCTCCCCCTGTCCCCAGCACACCGACCCCTGCCCTCCCTGTTCCCAGATCCCTAGCTTCCTGCTTGGCAGGCAGGAGCGTGCTCCCTTGCCGGCGTCCTCCCAGCAGCTCTCTGCGGTCCCCTGGGAAAGGTGAGGTCTTCGTGCTTCTTCTGGACTACTTGTGTCGAGTGGATTTGTGTATTGAGAGTCGTCTTACCCTTTTGTGCTTGTTTAGGACCCATTTTTCCTCCTTGTTGTGTTTACTCGGGTCCTCATTTACGTGGGGTTTTCCTACTTTGTTGTCTTTCGTTCAGAAGTTCCCATTGTTGGCTCATTAGTCTGCTCACCGCATTCAAGAATGTGACCGTACAAGTGATCGTGCCCGTGAGTAGTGTTCTGTAGGTATTTCAGGAAGAGTTCTGCCTGTTGTGTGCTGCAGACCTGCGGGCAGAAGGGGCCCGCCTGGGTCTTGGCACCGGTGGAGCTGTGGCTTGTGGGAGGCAGCTGGGGGCACATCCGATGACTGTCACCAGCTAGTTAATGGAGCGCCTACCATAGGAGCGAGGATGCGGCCTCGTGGGGGAGGGGAGGCAGTGGTTCCTCCACCTGCCCTGCTACCTCCAGGCATGACACATTTGTGGCACTCTCATTTCTGGGGATCAGAGTTCAGGCAGGGTGAGGTGCTGTCGTGTCCGGGTGACATCGTCAGTGGGATTGGGGGGGGGTCCCACAGCCTCCCTCAGCCGTGTCCCTCCAGGGTTCTGGTATGTTCTGTCTAGCAGGACCATCAGTCATCACACCCCTTGTTTGGGGGGCTCAGGTGAGGGTCCTGAGGAAGAAATCTGGGGCCTCTCCACTCGTGTCCAGGCTGGGGCAGCCTGCATGATGGGCGCTCACTGGGCAAGTCTGCCTGCCCGTCTGGGACGTCCCCACTGTCGGGGCTCTGAGGACAGGCTGTCTGTTATATGGGGCAGATGTGCAGGAGCTTCATGGTCTGGATCCAGAATTCATGCATCGTCAGTCGGGGCTGCTCTCCTCGGACAGGTGAGCCGGCCACAAGCCCACTCAGATTTGGGGAGGGGGCACGTAGACTGCCCCTTGATGGGAGGAAAGTCAAAGATTTACAGCTGTGGTTTGGAACAGCTACAGCGTCCACCCCCGCCATCCCTCTCGGACCCTTA